ATGTGTGTGTGTGTGTGTGTGTGTGTGTAGCAAAAGTAGCCCATGGTCAATCAGCCACATATTTAGTTCAGTTTCTTTTGAGTTTATGAGAGGCACATTTATACTGTAACATTTATTTAGAGATGGGGAAAAGGTAAGACCAACAGACAGAAACAACCGACGGAAAGAAGTATGACTCACCACTGGCAGGTTCCACTTCCCTCCACCTACACAAATCAGACATAATCGCTTTTGTCTATCAACATTTTTTTAAAAGTAAGTTTTACGGCACTTGCAACACACTAAGGTCATATATTATATATATAACAAATGGATAACAAACACAAAAAAAGGAGCGGGTATAAGGACGATAGATGTTTGATAGGAAAGAAGGAGCAAACAGCACTAGAGCACCCGCCAGACAACCATAGACACAATCAGAGTATAACTGTTGGGACGAGGGTATTCCCACAACAGGACATTCCCACACTGACCACTCATATGAGGCACTGTCTCATCCATCTCGTCCAGACCTGTAACCGCCAAACATTTCAACTCCACATATGAGCACTAATTCCAACATGCGTAATCTTCTTTTAGAAAATGTAGAAGAAATATATACAGACTTTACTTGCTTAGTTTGCCAGGGAAGAGTAGGAAAAAAAAAGTCGACTCACCGCCAGTGGCCTTGGCAATGCGTTTCAGATCAGCCTTTTTGCAGCGTCGGACAGCTATAGCGCCGGCCTCCACAAAATACTTTAGGCACAGGTCATCAATGCCTCCGGTAGTCAGGATAACATTGGCTCCTGCGTTGACGATCTTCTCGATACGTTCTTTGGTGATGTCAGACTCTCTGCCGTGTCAACAAAAAAGTACATGAGTATTGAGGAAAGTGGAAAATATATCAACGCAGCAAAACTTGACAGAATGGGCTTCTCCACGATAAAAAATCTTTTTTTTTTTTTGGTTTGAGAGAAGAGAAACACTTCCAGTGACTTCCACAAAACAGCTTTCATTTATTGCAGGAAAAAATTAAAGACAGGTAGACTAAAAAAACAAAAACACAAACACACCAAAAAAAAGGGGGGGGGGGGGAGAGTGTAATGTGTAAGCAGCCATCCACCTACCCACTTTAAATTTAAATATTAAAATATCAGACAAATGTAGACACAACCTACTCATCACTACTGAATCAACAAACAAAAACAAACAAGTTGTAAACATTACTGCTTTGATGTAAACATTACTGCTTTGATAGTTCAACACTTTAGCGGTCAACCAAACAAAATCTTTTGGGAAATCACATGCTATGTCGGCATAGTCATCGAAAGCAAAGCAGGCTACTAGAACCAGTCACTTTACAATAAACAGTGCCCTATTTTGCTGTTCCCCAGTGTATATACTGTCCAAGAGATGGTGGCTCTGGACAGCAAGTTGAATGGGGTTACTGAGTCTTGCCAAAATTTCTCACTTTGTTTGTTTCTTCACCTTCTTTTTCTTCCAACTATAGTTTCCATCTCGATCTTAATAACGGAATAGCGGATCAGGATCAAAATACCAGAAAAACCTGAAGAAAGCGGAAAAGTGGCATCCCTGTTTAATGTTAATATAAGGAGCAGCATGGTGACACCACAATGGTCATGTAGTGAGAGAAAATAGGAAGACTGAAAGATAGTCTTTAGTTTTAGTACATGTTTTAAGGCACTTGCAACACAAGGTCATTTAAGTGCCGAAGAATAGAGGTGTTACAAGAGAGTAAAGTACATGAAAGAGGAAGAGAGATAAGGATGATAGATGTTTGAAAGGAAAGAAGGAGCAAACCACACCAGAGCACCCGCCAACTATCCACAGACAGAAAGAGAGTAAAGAAGTAGCACCCGCCAGTGCACTTCCAACATCGAACAACAGCAGATGTAGACACAGTCATCACAGTCATGTGACGGGCTCCCAACCCAGAGATGGAGGCCCCACCAACTAACCATCAGACAAATGTAGACACAACTTACTCATCACTATTGAATAAACAAACAAAAACAAACAAGTTGTAAACATTACTGCTTTGATAGTTCAACACTTTAGCGGTCAACCAAACAAAATCTTTTGGGAAATCACATGCTATGTCGGCATAGTCATCAAAAGCAAAGCAGGCTACTAGAACCAGCCACTTTACAATAAACAGTGCCCTATTTTCCTGTTCCCCAGTGTATATACTGTCCAAGAGATGGTGGCTCTGGACAGCAAGTTGAATGGGGCTACTGAGTCTTGCCAAAATTTCTCACTTTGCTTGTTTCTTCACCTTCTTTTTTTTTCTTCCAACTATAGATTCTATCTCGATCTTAATAACTGAATAGCGGATCAGGATCAAAATACCAGAAATACCGGAAAAAAGCGGAAAAGTGGCATCCCTCTGGTCCCTGTATAATGTAGGAGCAGCATGGTTTAGTTTTCAGTTTTAGTAGAGATTTTACGGCGCTCGCAACTGCATAAGGTCATATGAGCGTCAGAAGATTACGGTGTTACAAGAGAGCAACAAACATAAAAAAGGAGGGGGAGAAAAGGCCGATAGATGTTTGAAAGGAAAGAAAGAGCAAACCACACTGGAACACCCACCAACTATCCACAGACAGAAAGACAGAGTAAAGAAGTAGCACCCGCCAGTGCACTTCCAACATCAAACAACAGCAGATGTAGACACAGTCATTACAGTCACGTGACGGGCTCCCAACCCAGAGATGGAGGCCCCACCAACTAACCATCAGACAAATGTAGACACAACTTACTCATCACTATTGAATTAACAAACAAAAACAAACAAGTTGTAAACATTATGGCTTTGATAGTTCAACACTTTAGCGGTCAACCAAACAAAATCTTTTGGGAAATCACATGCTATGTCGGCATAGTCATCAAAAGCAAAGCAGGCTACTAGAACCAGCCACTTTACAATAAACAGTGCCCTATTTTCCTGTTCCCCAGTGTATATACTGTCCAAGTGATGGTGGCTCTGGACAGCAAGTTGAATGGGGTTACTGAGTCTTGCCAAAATTTCTCACTTTGCTTGTTTCTTCACCTTCTTTTTTTTTCTTCCAACTATAGATTCTATCTCGATCTTAATAACGGAATAGCGGATCAGGATCAAAATACCAGAAATACCGGAAAAAAGCGGAAAAGTGGCATCCCTCAGGTCCCTGTATAATGTAGGAGCAGCATGGTTTAGTTTTCAGTTTTAGTAGAGATTTTACGGCGCTCGCAACTGCATAAGGTCATATGAGTGTCCGAAGATTACGGTGTTGCAAGAGAGCAACAAACATAAAAAAGAAGGAGGGGGAGATAAGGCCGATAGATGTTTGATAGGAAAGAAGGAGCTAACCACACCAGAGCACCCGCCAACCACCCACAGACTGAAGGACAGAAACACAAGAGAGTAAAGAAGTAGCACCCGCCAGTGCACTTCCAACATCAAACAACAGCAGATGTAGACACAGTCATCACAGTCAGGTGACGGGCTCCCAACCCAGAGATGGAGGCCCCACCAACTAACCATCAGACAAATGTAGACACGACCTACTCATCACTATTGAATCAACAAACAAAAACAAACAAGTTGAATGGGGTTACTGAGTCTTGCCAAAATTTCTCACTTCACTTGTTTCTTCACCTTCTTTTACCAATAACATCAAGCTGTGAGATGCTATCTTATCACAAAAATGATCTTGGTGACATCTTCAGCCTAAACAGTGAATGTTCTCAATACCCAGATTTGCCTACCGCATGGCAGAGATCTAGAAACGTTGACTAAATGAACTTTACACATTAAGTGAAGGAGAGCCGATCCTTCCATTGTGCAACAATACATAACACACACACATTAAATTTTTTTAAAACCACAACAGAAAAATGAACAAAGAAAGAAAGAAACAAAGTGCAAAACTGCTACACAAACTTGTAAAATGACAAGTCTGATGGCTTCACTTCACAAGGGTTTGTGCGTTTCCCGTTTCCTGTTGAAAGATCCTACTACATTCTAGAAGGGGTGATAATAATATATTCAATGCTTTTGTTCAGCCTTTAATACTTTGCCATCATATTTTGGGGAAAATCCAAAGAAACTGAGTGATAAACATTGCCAATTGGCGAGATGAGGTGGCAAAGTGTTAATGTACATATAAAGAACAGCATGTTGACCCCACAATGGTCAAGTAGTAATTGAAAAAAAAAAAAGGCAGACTGATACAAACATCGGAGAGTAAAGAGGTAGAGTTGGCAACTGCATTTCATCAATCAAAGATAACAACAGATGTAGACACAGTCATGTGACAGGCCACCAATCCAGAGATGGAGGCCCCAACAACTAACCAGTGTCTATGCTGTGCCCCACTGTATATACTAGCACAACAAGCAGTAGTTGGCCAGCAAGTTGAATGGGGGTATATATATATGTCTTGCAAAGAGGACAGATCGCATAAAAAACACATACAATATAACACGGATGGGTCTAACACAGAAGACTCATGCATCCTGCACCTGCGGTCCCATTCCCCCCCCCCCTCTTCTTTATCTTCGTAAGATATCCCTCGAACTACAGAGGCCGGTCCCAACGAATTCGAGCTATCCATATTACACTGTACACCAATAAGCTTCTTTGGTTGCCATTGATTGAGGTGCCATGCACTGCTACACACAGAGAACAAACCGAGATACAAAATGGAGCATCAAGTTCTCCAGAAAGACACAGAGCTTGGAGAAAATCATCTTAAATAAAGAAAACCTAGATTGGTATGTTGAACTTCCACACACAGCCCTGCCTACCCATCCATGGCCAAAAACAGGAGTTTTCCACACAATCCTCCAAAAAATTTGAATTTTCGGATAAAAAAATCAAAAGAGTCCTCAGAATTCCGGTAGAATTAGATTACATGACAAATCAATAGTGGCAACTTTAAAAAATCAGTAGTTTTAGGCCATTTACGACAAGTCCGCAAATTTTGTAAACAAAAGCAATTTAAAATGAGTATTTTCATGTCATTTACAATAAGTTGTGTCTGATGCTGACCAAAGGAAATGGAACAAAAAAAAACAAAAACAAACCCAAATACCCCCCCCCCCCCCCGCCCCCAAACTACTGAAGACAGATTAGGGCAAGTGAGTCAGAGGACCTACCAACCACAGGCAAATAACATTCACGACATTGACACATTTCCACAGGAAGCCGAGTAGAACAAAAGTAACACGAGCAGACCACACCAGGAGCACCCATCAACCAGCCACAGGAAGCCTTCCTTACCTCTGTCTCATGAGGTCAAGCTGTACAGGGTCTTCTATCAGGATCTGGACACCCAACTTCATTTTGGTTTTCTGCAGACTGAAGTCAAGACAGGCAATCTTTGCATTTGTGATCGCCTTGGGCATGGCTGTAGACAAAGAAAAATCAATTGCAGAATTGCAATTTTCACACAAAGTCAAAGCAGCAAATGAGCACACAAAAAGAAAAAAAAAGTCAATCCCCAAACAACACATAAACTGATCACCAACACCCTTTTAACTATTCATTGAAAAAAATTTAAACACAACACTGACCTAGAGGCTGGAGTAAAAAAAACAAAAAACCCAAAAATATCAATCTAAACAAGTTTTGCCTGTTCTGATTCCCATTTTTAAAAAGTCAGAGAATAAGGATGAGTAATAACAACTTTACTTTTCCGATCCAGCGGCGAGTAATAACAAGCAACCCATTGCAATATCATGTGCAATTGAATCAACTATCTCAACCATTGCCAACTAGCATCTGTGGTGCAACGTTTCAATGCTACAAAACCACACAAAGAAGACGCGAGTTTAATTGGTCGCTTTTCAGGACAAGCGGGCTAACCTAGTTTTCGGGGGGCTTCCAGAAATCTTGACCAACACCAAAAGTGGGCATTGCCCTATCTCCTTTGGTTTCATTGGGGTGTATATTTGTTTGGTTATAGAGAAAATTCTCATCGTCTTTTAACGAAACTGAACAAGGGGCAAAAACTTTTCCTTCCATTTTCTCAAAACAGCATTTTTCAGGATAGCCCCCTTGCGTTTAAAAGCGACCAACTCCTGTACAGGGAAATATATTTTCAGAAGGCCACCAAACCTCACGCGTGTCCCTCCTCCCCATACAGTACAAGAAAACTACCTTGTGAGGCGACGGTGCAGTTGAGGGCGTAGCCTTGAACAAGGACACTCTCCCTGGAGCTGCGCCCGTGAGCCTTCAGCACGTTCACAGCTTTGACGGGATAGCGGTAGCCTCCCTTGCCGTCAGGCGTCTTGACAGCGTTCGCAGCATCCACCACCATGTTGGCAAAGAAGTTGGAGTCACTTAAGCTGCGTCAAGGTCTCACCACATTTGACAATCGGAACTTATAAAATGACAAGAGTTTGAAAGCTCCATCCTGGAACTGTACAAACACTTGGTAGTCCAATTTCAACAGAGGAATAAACATCCCATGTTTAACACAACTTGTTCCCTTTTAATTTTTGTTTTAGTAGACCTTTTCTAATCTAATGCAGCTCTGAAAAGAGTAGACTTGATTCTGAACATGTGACCTCAGGGAGCCACATTGGTAAGCCAAGTTATTCATATCAACTTCTAAACAAAACAAGAATGTGGATGCAGTCATGAAACAGAAATACCAGAGAGAAAAGAAGTAGCACATGCCACAGCATTTCATCAATCAAAGACAACAGCAGATGTAGACACAGTCATGTGACAGGCCACCAATCCAGAGATGGAGACCCCAACAACTAACCCGTGTCTATGCTGTGCCCCACTGTATATACTAGCACAACAAGCAGTAGTTGGCCAGCAAGTTGAATGGGGTGAGTTGTGAAAAGATTATGTACCAAATGTGTGTAGTCTCTTCACAAAGTCATCTTTAAAATGGTTTTCCTTGTTCTATTTCGTTTCAGACAAACTGTTCAGACCAAATCTCTGAAAGAAATAAAGCTGGCAATTCCGACCTTCTTGAAACGATTACACAGAAAGGATACGGTCCAATAATCTTGCTGGACATGCTGGTCTTTGCAGCGTTGACAATACAGTCTCTGCCCAGGTCGTCCACGGAGATAGTCAGGTGCTCCTGAATATACTTCACAGCCTCCCTGATGGACAAATACACAGAACATTATTGGTAAATTATGTCAGATAAGGGATAACAGCATCCATCCAACCGAGACATCACTGAACAAACCCTGATGGACAGACACAAATACACAGAACATTATTGGTAAATTATGTCAGATAACGGACAAGAGCATCCATCCAACAGAGACATCACCTTCAGTAACTAGATGATATAACTATGTCAAATGAGGAAAAGCAAAATAAAACCCCATTTGGGGGAAATTAAAAAATCAAAAAATCAAACCAGACACAGAACTACAACCTAAATCAAAGGGTTTAGAAACTGAATGGATCATACATTGCCCCCCCCAAAAAAAAACAACAACAAACAAACAAAAAAACAAACACTTCTAATGTAAATTGGAATGAGCATGCATCTTGCAAGCTACACAGAACCAATGTTACCAACTCCACTCCCACTCACTTGCATGCCAGCCTGTATCCACTGATGATGGAAGTCGGGTGAATCTTGCACTTGACCAGTTCATCAGCATTCTTCAGAAGCTCTGCAGCAATGATCACCTAAAAGATAATGGCAAAGTTTGCACTTCAAAGAGCAGTTTGTTTGCTTTGAAAGGAGAAGCCCATTGTTGTATTTACAAGTGTCAGACTTTCGCAGTCCATACAATTCTAGCATTGATCAAGTAATGCCCCCCCCCCCCCCCCCCCCAAAAAAAACAAACCCAACAACACAGGGTCCCCTTAAACACATTTCTATAAACTTACAGGACTAAAACCAAGAAGAAACAATCACATCTCATTCCATTAAAATGACGGCTACAAAACTACATAAATTTCATTCAGGCTTGCCAACCTTTTCAATACCCAATTTGGGACACATAATTTTGTAACATTAGATACTGTAACAACAAACAAAATTACATCAAATGGGTCTGGCTTTCGTGTAGTGAATGTAATATGGCTCTCAAATTCTCGACTGCTGAATCCAGGACAATACCGGGAAATTCAGGATAGGTGACAAGCCTGTATATACGAGAAATAAAATTTTCTGAAACCGTCAACACTTCCTACTTTCTTCAAATTTCAGGGTTGTTTTGGTTTTTATGGCACACATGCAATACAGAGACGTCATGTAAGTGCCAAAAGAGGTCTTACTTGAAAGTGACATTCAAAGGAAAGGTAGAGGAGAGGTAAGGAAGATAAATGTCTGACAGAAAAGAAGAAACAAACCACACCAAAGCACCCATCAACCATCCACATGGAACTTCAGGGGGGAAAAAAAAGAGCATCTAGGTACGATACGGCTCAAAGTGTAACACACCCCCTTGCACTATTCACTCACCACGCTGGTGGTGCCGTCGCCGACTTCTTGATCTTGTAGATCGGCCAACTCCACCAGGACCTTTGCTGCAGGGTGCTCTACCTCCAACAACTTCAGGATGGTGGCTCCGTCATTTGTGATTGTAACATCCTGAACAAACAAAAAAAAAGTTTTAAATTAAACAGAACTTCAGTGTACAACTGCAAAGCATCTTGAACTGAAAAAAAATATATAAATGGATGAAACTTAGCAGCTCATCAGATGAAAGGTCAAACTTACAACTTGCAAGCTTAATGTCAACAGATCTTTAGTACCAAAGAAATAGCTATGGTCGGGTGATTGTTTTTGTTTTCATAAACTAAGTGGAGCTGCTGCTGTTGTGTTGTCAATCTGGCGGGCACTTCAATTTCTTCTTACTTTAACACTGTACAATTTCAAATCCCTTTCCGTGATACATTTCATGTACTAAATACTACCACCCAACCAGCAATAAAAGAGAGCCGGAAACTGTCAGAAACAAGAGCTTGCTAGCCTACTCACAGGTCGGCATGTGACTGGCTACCTAATAATACAAAGGAGTCGTAATTTTGTGGTTAGGCTACTGAATAATAAGGTTGAGGGTTGGCGTGCAGAGAAAGCATTTGATTGCCTTCTGTGTGAAAGTTGTATACAATACTATAGATTCGGTACCTTTTAACCTCGGCTCAATTGTAATGTTTGAACGTGCCTCACAAACCTGTGCCCCTATGTCGATAGAAGTTCATTCTGTTCATGCGAAGCTGTTTAATTAAATAAATTTTCAAGCAAATATTGGTCTTGAAGAAAAATTAATTGCAGAGAACTAGATTCTAAGACCCAGGGAAATTATGGTGGCTGTGTGCAAAAACTAAGAGGAGCAGCTGCGTATTGAGAACTAGATTCTACACTAAAAATAGCATTAAGTTGCCAAGTTTCATTCATGATATAGTTTTAATTTATTCCTGATTGATGAGTAGTTTTCTCTTAAAATACACCTGGAAAGCCCACTCACTTTTGGGCAATATTTTCCAATATAGACACAAACATATTCAATTACCGTAATACGTTACTACCAAAAGCATCTATAACTTGAAAAAATAATTTTTTTTAATTTATTATCATTGGGTTTAAAAAAGGCAAAAATCCTCAGTGCTCAGAGTACAAAGACTTTTTCAAATTATTTGAAGGAATTTCAAAGAACATATAATCTTTCATCGTCACTGCAGAGATTATGAGTTCTCTAACAACAGCAATGAAAGTTTTTATTCATAAATATTCTTTTGTCTGGTGAGAAAAGGCAGAGAATGACAAATAGAGAATTTTCAATGGCAATTCATGAGAGGTGGGAGGTCAGACCATCTAAAGAGCAAGTCTGCAAAACCCTCCGAGACACCTGACGACAAAAACTACCACCCAACTTTGACTTACATCCTGCTGAGTAAATCAACATCACTTACCCCAATATCATCAACCAGCATCTTGTCAAGTCCAACTGGACCGAGACTGCTTTTGACGATGTTGGAGATGGACATAGCCGCCAGAACTGAAAGGAAAACAAGACAATGGCATTGTTCTTTTTGGTCTGGACCAGTCTTTCATAGATTTAGTTTCCACGATCAAGTGCCTACAAATAATTCTCAAGGGACCCATTTCTTTTCAGAATAGGCTGACTATCACTAGTCCCCACTTACAATAATTTTTTTAATTTACTGTGCCCCCCCGATCCCAACACCTATAGTTTCCCAGAGATTCATTCATGATTGAATATAGCCAAATGACCCCTATCTTACAATATAATCCTAGTTTGGGTAACTCCTGCAACATGTAAAGTACAAGGAGAAATGATTTAATCGGAACAGGTTCCATTCATTTGTACCGCAACCTGCATGAACATGATGTTTCCCACCATATCTTTGGACAAGACAACTGAACTCAAGAGATTTGAGGGCTAAATTGTCATAATTTATCATTTATCATTTTTGCAGCAGAACATGTTCACAGTATATATGTGGCCACTAAAACCTTTGCAAATCAATTGTTTTCAAGTAAATATCAATTTTAATTAACAAAACGTCAAATCATGGTGAAGTGCAGGGGGGCATGTCCCCCTACCCCCCC